ATGACCCGCTTGTGTCTGAGCAGAGGTGTGTCTTCTCTTCCCTTCTCTCCCAATTCATTATACAATAAATTGTGTCATTCATTGAAACCAATTATTTAAACAATTTGTAGTTTTTTGGTTCGCTTTTTAGTACATCTATGGATAATCTATTTGTTAATCTAAACATGAATTTAATGCTAAAATGTTTTTAAGTATTTTATTACGGGTAGTAATATTATGATTAAAACAAATAATCAATTGATACTTAATTGAGAATCAAGAAACCAAAGTATTTCAAACTATAGTTCGGGACAACAAATACCACTCCCTTAGGAAACCTGAGCGCACCGATGGGTGGCTCAGCGTATGGTATGCCTTGAAATTGGTATAGAGTTGTGTTGAGCGCCACAACCACTCGACCTCTTCAGTGGAGACGTTAAGTGTATTAGAGATTGAGATATTTTTAATAATAGTTTTATTGGACTTTTGATAATTAATTTGTTATTCAGATGTTAACAAAATATAAAATTGTTTTATTTTTGAATCGTTTATGAAATGTTCGGTCGGTCTGTCGCCGTTGCCTCGGAGTAAATGCATTTACGGAGAAATTACAACTATCTTATCTTAACGTAAATAAAACGTGTATTAATTTTGGTGTTTAATTTCAATATTATAATAAATACAACATTTTTGATTATGATATAATTAAATGCAATATATGATTAAGTTTTATGTAAAAATTGGGTCTTAAGAATAAATGTTTTTACACTAATAATAAATGTATAAAATGCCCGTAAATAGACATTTGATTTGCTATTTATTGCGAATAAAAATTAAATTTTTAATATAATTTAATGGGCTAGAAAATTAAAAAGCAACATAATGCATTCATGTAAAAGTAAATGAATATTACTAATTAGTTATTAAACTAATTAGATCATCTTCTGAATTATTAAGTATTGTCCCGTGAATTGTCCAATAAATTACATTAAATATGATGTAGAAAATTGGGAACACATATCGAGAGTAACTGTCAATTAACTTCTGGGATCGGACACCTGATTGGTCGCATGTATCATTAACACCATGATCATTATCATTATACTTCAATTGTTTACTAATTTTACGTTCAAAGTGTCCGACAATAGCGTATTCAATGAGTGCCAGGAATACGAGTGCATACGAGACGCCCAAATAAATGTCTATTGATTTGGTGTACGATATCTTAGGCAGCGATTCGTTGGTGTTTGTGACCAGAGTTGTCATTGTAAGCACAGTAGTGATGCCCAGTCCCACTCTGGCCACTGAATCAGCTGGGTTCAACCAGAATGGCAGCCACGACACCACCACGATCATAAACGCCGGCAAATATACCTGGCTTATATAGTATGCGATCGACCGCTTAAATACTATTTCAAACTTTAATTGCCAGTAACCACCTAGATGTAACATTGTAAATAATTAAACAAAATTAAAGCATGGTTTAAAATGAGAATTGTATTTAATGATAACAATACAAATTGAGTACCGAGTGCTGAGTATGAGATGTATTTATCCATTTTATAGCCTTCTATCTTAAAGTTAGGCAAAGAGATGCCATCACTTATGCTATTATTCTGTTCCCAATTGTATTCAATATCGTCG